TTGAGACCAGCCTGGGCAACATAGTGAGACCCTGTCTCCATTGAAAATAATAATAATTTTAAAATTTTATAAAATAATGAGGGCACAAGGATGGTTCAACTATTTTGTGAGCTGAGCACAGAAAGATAACATTCTTATTTCTGATAAATTTTGGTAGTTTGACTGAAGGAATACAAGGTATTATATGTTGTTCAGTCAAGGAAAACACATATTACTGTATATATTAGTCAGAATACTTAGTTTCAAGTCACAGAAACCAACTCTGGCAAACAGAATATATAAAAGGTTATTGGGTAGCCTTGGGATGGAGGTGGGGATAAGGCTTAAAATTTCTACAGTTGGAAACAACATCCAAAATTATACTTGAGAATCAATCAATCATCTCTATAGTTATGATTTTACATAATGTCTTTAAATGGTATCACACTACAGTCTTTTTTGTCTGGCATCTTTCACTTAGCTTAATTAATTTAAGAATCATTTATGTTTTTGCATGTACTAGTAGGTTTTTTCTTTTTGCATTCCATCATAGGGATGTTGTAACACCGTTTGTTTATTCATTTGCTATTTGAATTGTTTGGGGTTTTTTTCCTTCTTCTTCTTTTTGCGACAAGGCAGGATTTTGCTCTGTTCTGCAGACTGAAGCGCAGTGGTGCAATAATAGTTCATTGTAACCTTGAGTTTCTGGGCTCAAGTGATCCTTGTGCCTCAGCCTCCCAAGTAGCTAGGACTACTTGTGTGTGCCATCACACTGGCTACTTTTTTTAATTTTTATTTTTACAATTTTTGTAGGGATGGAGTCTCACTGTGTTGCCTGGGCTGGTCTCGAATATCTGGCCTCAAGCAATCCTCCTGCCTCAGTCTTCCAGAGCTCTGGGATTACAGGTGTGAGCCACTGCATCTGACCTGAATTGTTTCTTATATGGAGCTATTATGAGCAAATCTATTAAACTTTTCATTTCTTTTGGGTAAATACTTAGGACTGGGATTGCTGGGTCATATGGTAAAGTGTATGCTGCCAAATTTTTCCAAAGTGGCCATTCCATTTTGCATTCCCAACAAAAATGAGAGTTCAGTTATTCTATATTCTTGCCAGGACTTTGTACTACCAGGTTTTTTCTTTTTAAGTTTAGCCACTCCAGTAGGTATGAAGTATTAATTTTCATTTTCTTGATGATTAATGATGTAGAGCATCTTTTCATATACTCATTTGCTGTCTGCATATCTTCTTTGGTGAAGTGTCTGTTCAAATCTTTTGGCTATTTTTTTTTTTTTTCTGAGTTAGAATCTCACTCTGTTGCCCAGGCTGGAGTGCATTGGCACACTCATGGCCACTGCAGCCTCGACTGGGCTCAGGTGATCCTTCTGCCTCAGCCTTCCAAGTAGCTGGAACCACAGGCATGCGCTGCCATGCCCGACTAATTTTTTGATTTATTGTAGAGACCAGGTATTGCTGTGTTGCTCAGGCTGGTCTCTAACCCCTGAGCTCAGGCAGTCCTCTTGCCTCTGCCTCCCAAAGTGCTAGGATTACAGGCATGAGCCATCGCACCCAGCTGTTTTTTTTTTTTTTTTTTTGAGTTAGAGTCTCACTCTGTCGCCCAGACTGGAGTGCAGTGGCCGCTCCCGGCCACCGCAGCCTCGACCTGCTGGGCTCCGGCGATCCTTCCGCCTCAGCCTTCCAAGGAGCTGGAATTACAGGCATGCACTACCATGCCTGGCTGATTTTTTGATATATTGTAGAGATGAGGTCTCGCTGCCCAGGCGGGTCTCGAACCCGCGGGCTCAGGCAATCCACTCACCTCAGCCTCCCAAAGGCGCGGGATTACAGGCTGAGCCACCGAGCCCGGCTTCACCCAGCTGTTTTTAAATTGTGTTATTTGTCTTCTTGTTGAGTTGTAATATTTCTTTATATTTTCTGGAAGCAGGTATATCTTCAAATATCTTCTTCCAGGCAGAAGCTTTTCATTTTCTTAACAGTGGTTTTTTGAAGGGAAGTTTTAAAATATTTTAATATTAATGTGTTCCAACTTTTTATTATTAGTGCTTTTTAGGTTCTTTTATGAAATTTTTTCCTAACCCAAGATTACCCTTTTCACCCTGTTTTTGTAACAATATCTTAAATTTTATTATCTGCATTTAAATGTTTTATCATTAGCATTTGTTTTTTTTCTATTTCTTAGGAAAAATCTATGAAACTTATTAAGTAGTATCATAAAAAGAATTTCAAAAGTCTTTAGACCACTAAAAAATTAATAGGCAATAATATTTTGCTCTGTAACTGCAAATTAATTTCATAATTTTTTCCTATTTTTTAAAATAAGTTTTATAATGTTGTTTTACCTTTTAATCTATGAACTATTTGAATTCATGTTTTGTATATGGTGTGAAGAAAGGGTTTTATTTTGCATATGAATATCCAGTTATTCTAGTACAATTTGTTGAAAAGTCTAAACTTTCTCTATTGAATTACTCTGGGAACTTTTTCAAAAATTAATTGACCATATATGTGTGAGTCTATTTCTAGACTATTTCATTGACCTGTATGTCTGTCTTTATGCAGAGACTATACAGTCTTTTTTTAAAATCAAGTACAGTGCAAGAGATATCAGGATGAATATGAAAAAGTCTTTGTTTTGATAAGGGAACATACTGGTGGGTTAAATAAAAATACCTAACATTGAGAGTTTTTAATATTTTTAAGAGCACTATTACCTTTTTCAGTTGGAATTGGTATGGAACCAGACCTCAAACTACACAGTCTTGATTACTGTAGCTTTGTAGTTAGTTTTGAAATCAGGTGGTGTGGGTCCTCCAACTTTGTTCTTCATTTTCAAAATTATTTTGGCTACTCTGTCCTTTGCTTTCCCATATAACTTTAAGAATTTCACTTGCTGGGATTTTAATTGGGACAGCATTGAATTTATAGATCAGCTTTGGAGAGAATTATCTTATTAACATTATTGAGTCTTCTAATCCTTGAGCAATGTATTTCTCCATGTATCTAAATCTTAATTTCTCTCATCAATGTTTTGCAGTTGTCAGTGCATAAATCTTGCACATAATTTGATGCGGTTTTATGCTTGTGCATATGTGCTTTCCATCTACTGAATTCAGATAAACATTTCCTTATATTTCCTTCAAGTTTTTATAGTTTATATTTAATGTAATTGAGATAATACAATGTATAAAATTTTGGCATACATGAGAAACACCTGGGAAATTTGTGGAAATTGCAGATTCTAGAACCATGCTCCTAAAAATTCTGGGTCTGTGGCAGGGACCAGGATGCTACAAGCTTCCCAGGTGGTCTTTTAACACGTTTTGAAAAACGTCATTCTTTTACAAAGCTAAAATGGTTTCATGAGCTGAATTTAGGAACTATCACTTCTCTTGTATTTATTTTTGAACTTCAAATTATAATTGCTGCAAGTGAAATTATTTCTCTAAGGATTATACTGGGTCAAAACTCAGGGCTTCTGACTCATAATTAATGTCCAATAATTCATAATATAGTAATTATTAAGTATATGTGTCAAGTATAGTGCAAGAGATATCAGGGTGAATATGAAAATTCTTTGTTTTGATTAGAGGCCATACTGGTGGGTTAAATAAAAATACCTAACACTGGGAGTTTTTAATATTTTTAAGAACATTGTTACCCTTTTCAGTTGGAATTGGTTTGGAATGGAATGTTTCCTAGCCTGAAACTCAGTTGTGTAACCCTCTGTGATTATGTATGGACAAGCCCTTGATTTTGTGTAGTAGGCCAGCCGGGAGGCTTTCTAGAGAAAACTCACACTTAGAAAGATATGAAAATTTAGATGTGGTTTACCTAGAGTAATGGGGGATGGGGTGTTCTGTTCAAATCACAGTTCATTATCTGGTCAATAGATTAGTCCCCAGTGGACCCAAAATGTCTTGAATCCTAAGAAGAGAAAGGAAACTATAAACAAATATAAAATGAACTAAAAATTGTTATTGACTACTTTGCTAAGAACTATGTGATACAGTGGAACCCAAACAGCCCTGGGGCAGTACCACTTGCAGTTGGGAGAGGGACTTTATCCTCACTCATATAAGGGTCAATTAGGGGCTTTGGCGCTTTGAGGACCATAGGAAATCATAAGAGCTTTATCACCATTAGGACTCTATCATATCAGTGGCTGTCAGCAGCGAGTACAGGTATAGAGCACAGCAGGAGTGCTCAGCATATATGGTAGTATGCAGAGAAAGATGACACCCTCTTCTCAGCTGTTGGGAGTTGTTCCTGAGCACAAGTGAAGCCTACCTTCAGCCCTCCTTTTGGTGTCTGATGGAGGAAGGGTCTGCTATTTCAAGGGAGCCAGTTCAACACAGCTCACATGTTCCATACCTCATCTGATCCACTGGGCAGTTCTGTGAGACAACTGTTTCCATTTCACAGATGACAAGACTAACCCTTACAGCAATGGATCTATTATAGCTGTTAGGTTGATTAGTCTATCTAGCTAGGAGTCCCAGAAGTAATGTGAAATTTACTTAGCATCTTATGTTCTGACAACAGGAATTTGAAGTGTCTTCACTACCCTTATATACCCACTGACCAGTTCAAGTGCTTATGTTGTTCAGTTTTCCTGGTTTTAGTTTTTTAAGTTATTATTTTGATAAATGTAAATCATCCTTTAAGAAAAAGTGGGGATGAGTGAGCAAAGAAAAAAAATCACACACAGGGGGAGCCATAGAATGGTAGAGGACCCAGGAGAGGGGTCAGCAGTGCCCACTGACCTGGTCACACTTAGGGAAGACATGGAGATGGGCCCAACAGCAGAGAAACCGCATGGAGTTACCTACCCATCAGGTGGTAGGATGCATTTTTGAGTACAGGCAAGACCTATTCTCAGCCACTATGTAGGAATAACCATTGCCTACTTTTTAAGAGTACACACTTTCAGAGTTTTCTCTGTGCACCAACACATTATGCCAACATTTACACTTTTATAAAAATGGGCTGATACCGTATATGTGGTTCTGCAAACTGTTTTTTCTTTATTGTTATTTCACAATGTACCATGAACATCTCTTCCATGCACATGGGTGAAAATCCTTTATTAAAAGACAGAGCGCTGTAGGTGGATCAAAAGGCTGCTGGTAACAAGAGTGACATCTAAAGCAAAGTATCAGCTTAAGGTTAAAGCGCAGGGCCTGGCAAATATCTACCAGGGAAAGCAGGGCAGGGCCGGCAATATACTCATCAGAGAACTCAGAATTGAAGGCCAAGGGCATTAAAGGTATGGGATATCATGTAAGCCCCTTTGGCCCCTACCTCCGCCCCTCACTCCCCTGACACCCCGCTGGCCCCTCGGGGAGAATGCATCCTGGACATCTCTTTGCATCCAATGAAAACCACCCATTTTCTGCTTTTTCCTTAGCTCCTCCTGGGCCCTCGACACATCTCCACATTCTCTCATCATCTCCTCACTGCTCAAATGCCTTTCCTGTAAGTCCTCCTGAGAGTCCTTGGGGGAGTCGTCCGTCGTCCCCCTGTCCGTTTTTCTTTTTGCTTTCCGGGGCACGTAATCTTCAGCCGGGCGCTTCTCAGCGGCCCGCGGCTCGCTCCCTGCCTTTGCCTGGGATGCTGGCTGGCCCTCACCCCGGGGCCTGCCCTCAGCTGCGGGCTTGCCCTGCTTGCCCTGCTTGCCCTGCTTGCCCTCAGCCTCCGGTTGTCCCTCATCATCTGGCTCTCCCTCCTCCTCCAGCTTTCCCTCCTCTTCTGGCTTCCCCTCCACGTCTGGGTTTTCTTCCTCCTCTGACTTTCCTTCGTCATCAGGCTCTACTTCATCTTCTGGCTTTCCCTCCTTTTCTGGTTTTCCTTCATTTTCACTGTAGAGTTTTTCCATGCTGAGATTTCCTCTCTTTTCGTGTCCTGGGGGGAGGGGGGGAGGGTCGGGGAGGAGAAGAGGAGACAGGGCAGACTGAGGGCCCGGGGTAAAATGCAGGTCCGGATAGTACTTGCATCTCGCCCCAGGTCAGGGTTCTCCTCATCTGGCCTGAACCCCCAGTGTGCCTTCTGCCTACCACGTAGCCCACCACTTCTCCCCCACACCAGAGCCAACCATTCCCTGGCAGGCCTGCCACCTTCTCTAAATCCTCCAGCCTGGCAAGGCCTGTGTGCATACGGCAGAGGGATGGGCAGTGGGACCCCGAATTCTGCTCAGGCCATGCCCCCCTACACTCACAGCCCTGCTGGGTCCCTGTCCATAATGCCACCCCACCCCCACCCCCTCGCGCCGCCCCTTTAACGAACCTGTGGGGATTCTGGACAGGTTGCTCCTGCTTTCCAGGCCTCGAAGAGTACTGGGAACAACAGACACGCAGACCTGTGGACAGACAGGAGAAGGGGCAGGGGCTGCGCGCTCAGTGGAATTGCGCGCTCAGTGGACTCCCAGGGACTCAGGTCCCTTTCCTGACTTGGGGCCCTCCTCCCCCAGCGTTTTCCTTCCAGACCTCCCCCGCACCCCAGCCGCCATTTATTTCCAGGCTTTGGGTGCCAGACCACGATGCTTTTTAAACTGCGTTTGAGTTTCTGCGTCCCCTCCCCCGGAGGCCACCTGCCCCGCCCCCCAACACCTTTTCCTGGAGGTCAGTGTCTTCAAAGGCGCAGATGGCGAGGGGGTTGATTTCCTGAATACAACTACGTTTCACTGTCGCACTGCAGGGGCGCCCCCTTCCCCCCCTCCTTTTTTGTTCTAAAATGGATGGAGGGCTCAGAGGAGGGGGGAGTCGAGAAGGTGGGTTGGGCCCTTGGGGATCCTGCCTCGCCTTTCCCCCCGCCTCCGCCCTCTCCGCGTCCCCCTACTCACCAACCTCCCGGATCCCTTCCCCCATCCGTCCCCCGCCCGCTGCTCCCAGATAGTGCCCACTGTCGGCCACCGTCACCCCTCCCGATCCACACTAGTGCCTGTTCTCACACTGACCTGCGGGGACCCGGGACAGGCCTGCGCCTCCTTGGGCTCGCGGAAGCCCGCTCGCCGCTCGCGGCTCGCCGCTCGCCGGCAGCCGGGACAGCGCA